TTTTCCCTCAAAGACCAGCTCTGCTGTGCCAAAACCCACAGCAGCCACACTATCCTCCTCAGCTACTTACCCACTCGCTGTTCTGGAAACTGGGAACAGCTATCCCATTATGCCAAACCCTACAAAAATCAGTTAACCCTGGCAACATAAGTCACACGGTTTGGAGTATATTTCTCCTCAGGTGAGAAAAGGGCTAGACGGGCCAAACTGGGTATGAGTTCACTTTACACCATGGTTCTGTAGTGAAAAAAGGAGGACGGAGATATAAAGCAGGGGCACAGCAGGACTGAAACTCAGAAAGGCCGAAAAAAGCCAGCCTTGAAGTTCAAAAAACCCACTTCTCAAATGATATTTTCTTCAGACTAGACTTTGAGAAAATCCAGTGGAGACTGACATTCAAACTCCTTATATTTGCTGCCTGTAGCTTGCTTAGTGAAATATTCGATATCTGCCCCTTTATATACTGTCCTTCTGAGGGACTGAACAGGGTCACTAATTACAAATTGAGAAAGGACAGGAAAGAAAAAAACTCAAGGCAGATCTTGAAAAAGAAAAAAAAAAAACAAACACCACCACCCTTCAATTATCCATTAAAATATTGTGGTTGCTAACAGCAAGACTATGTTGGTGTGAGCCAGAGAAAGAGCCAGAGAAAGAACCCTTGGAAAAAAGCACAAAAATACTTCTGTATACTTATATAATACCAAGAGTAGAAAGGGTTAGCAAGCAATACAAAAGTCACTCTAATCTGCTTTTTGGAGGAGTAAACACCTATCCTCTCAGTTCTTTGTAGACACAAGTAAAAATGGCACATATAAACTTTTGCTACTTTCCTTCTTGTCTTAGGACGGTGAAAAATTTTAGTCATTAATTACACTTACTACAGTGCTGGTTTTGTCACAACTGACGTATCTACTGACAGCCTAAGGAAATCACAGACATATGTGCTAACATGCCCAAAATAAAAAAATAACTGAATGCCACAGAGGACCAGATACCCCTGTTGTCAAGGTCAATGAAGCCCATGAGCATCATAGGGGTGAGACATTCAAAACTCCAGGGACCAAGATTAAAGATGATATTAGCAGAAGAAGCAGAGCATCCTGTTTTTCAGCAGGAGGTTTAATGCTTAAAATGCTGCCCTAGCAACTGATGCACAGCCCAAAAGCATCAGGTAAGACAGAACTAAAAGGTAAAGTGATAGGTAGGTAATGGACAGTATAGTAAACCAAGGAAATTAGAAATTATATTTTCCTTGCTATCATTTAACTACTCAAAGATATCTAGGGGTTCTAACTCCTAGTTCTCAACTTCTTGGTTAATTAATTTTTTCCCATTCTAAGAGCTTCATTTTAATTAGCTCCCAAGTTGAGCTGCTATGAAGAGGTTTTATTTTCATTGTCTTTTTTCTATATGTAAAAAACAATGACTTCAAAAATACGCACTCATTAAAAATAATCAGTGATTTTTGATACTGCTAAAATATGCAAGTGACACAGGAAAAATAAGTTGTTGGGGTTTTGTCATAATTTAGTTGCTTAGTACCACAACAGAAAGAAAAAAAAAGAGACATATATTTAAATATCAGAAACCATCCAAGTAGATTAAGTCTTGAAGTCACGAGTGATTAAAGAGAAACTCAAATTCTTTAGTCAGACAATGGATAGGTTCTTACAACAGTTGCCACAAAACACTTTTCATAGTTGTCTTCATTACAGCTTCGAATTTTTCATTCCATAAACTACAGCACAAAGAGCCATGTGCAATACAGTTGATACCATAGCAAAATGTGAAAATAGCGTAACTGTCAATTTATTCCTCACATTTACATAGCTGGTTTAGCCTCCAATTAGGATGTTCAGAGTTATAAATACGTACAGAAGTAAACTTTTATATCAATTTGTGTCTGTAACAAATGCATCTGTTGACAAGATAGCAATTACCGTGGATTAAAAATGAAATCCATGAAATGTTACGTTACATATTTGAAGACTATGTAGCAGTTTTTTAAACTACTGATGCCTTTGATATAAGCCTTGCCTTGAAATATGAATGTTGTTACCAAAAATAGAAAATGAAACCAAGGAGACAGAAATTTCCATCTTTTTCTTTTATATCTCCTAACTAGAAAATTCTATTTTATTATTATTTTAACCAGGCGAAACACAAGAAGTGTTTTTCTAGACTGGATCGAACCTTTTGGTCATTAAGAAATACCACAGTCTTTATTGAATTGAAGTGTATCTCATGTAAGACAACTCATCAACCCAAATACAGGTTTAATCAAATACAGGTTCAACTTGAAATTTACCAGTGCCAGTGACATCAACGAATACAATGCCTTTGATTCTGGAGTTTAATGACACTGTTCTAATTAACACAAATACATGTTTTAGTTATTTCTCTGTAATTTGCAGCTTTGCTGCTGTTTGCTAAAGAGAAGCATGATAAGACATGCCTATCAAAATATTCAGGCTATCACTTGATTCAATTCTACTTAAAGTCTACAGTTTTGCAACCAATTTACATTTAGCATTCATTTCTCATGCATGAGTTGACCCACTTACACATGCAGTAAATCCATGCCTTTGGGGATTTTTCTGGATGGCTTGCTTTATTTCCACCACACAACTCATTTTATTTTGTCAATACAGTGAGCAAGGTTACAGTCATCCTGTCAAATTTATTTATTTAAATTAGAATCAGAAAGACTATATTACTCCCTGTGGAACTTCACTGAAAATTTTTTGAAACTTTGAGGCTACATAACTTTTGTAATCAACTAATTTCAGATGAAAACAGTGATATCGGAAAAAATAGGCCACAGTTACAACAACTTCTTCTCTAAACTTATAAAAGACTTCAGAAATCCTAAAACAATATAATCAACCACATTAATATATATCATATTTTACATGCTTAAAAACACAAGACAAAAGAGATTTTTCTAAGCAAGCCTATAGAATAAAGTCCGATGGAATAAGATCATTTAAGAAGCAGCTATACAGGCATCACATCGGCTTGCTTTGACTACCAGAGACACACTTTACCTAAAATATTTCCCCTTGCATCTCTAGGGACAGTTTCAGCTTCACATTTGAGAGGCTTCTTTGAGGTCACTTACCATCCTCACAGTGGGGCTGCTAAAAGGGAGACTTCTCCACACAGAAATTGTCCCAAAGTCACATGTTATTCAAGTCCAAATAGACTTGTGTCTGAGAGACAAGCACTTCCATTTTATACAATTTGCTAATGTGGGGTTTCTCTCTCACATTAGTAGCTCACCTGAACTTCAGTATACATTTGGGGTTAGTGTTTCAATGGACTTACCCCAAAGGCCTATCTGAATTCACACATCTCATGTTATTCTGGGCAGTGTGGGATGTAATAGCCACTATAAATCCTTATTTTTAATGCTAGCAGTTTTTCCAAATGCAGTTGCCTCCCTTGGGCAGCGGTTTGTTTTCCAGTTTCTCAATGACAAAATGCTTCCGTGAAGAGTTATGCACCTTTCCACCTGTCTTACAAAGGAAGCAGCCTCATAACAACATCACTCTTTCTCCCACTCTGGACCAGGTAGTTGACCTTCAGCAGGTGAAGAATGTCACCTTGTTAGGGATATCTGTTTTACTACCCCCATGGAATATGGCCTAATACAACAGAGTTACACACTGATGCAAACTGAACATCCACATGCTCAGCAGGGTTTTTACCATAGTTAAAGTTACCTAAATTATTCAATTCCATCTGTACTGACAGATTCACACATAATGATTGTAATGACTATGTAAGATTCCAAAAAGTACCCTTCAACTTGGCATTTCGGGGTCTAAAAATAATGTTTCTTCCCACATGTTGGGAGCTATTGTCATGTGTACCACAAAGAATTTAGAAAGAGAGACCAAGAAAGAGAATCTGAAAAAGTTATGGGGACAGAAAAAGAAGTCAGTGCCACCCCTGATGAATCATGAACACATTGTTCTGGATTCCCAGCAATCTTTTCCAGCTTCTCAACAAACAGCTGTAAAATCCCCTAGCAAAGGCTCTGCCTCCCTCTACCTCTAATGGAAGGCTCACACAGAAGATAATGGTTCACTCTAGGTGCTACTTACTGCATTAGCATAAATACTTAAATCTCTGTGCTTTAGTTCTTCATCTACATAAGGTCTGCATAAAAGGGGATTCCAATACCTCCTCATTTCTTAGGCAACTCTGAAAACAATGTAAATGAAAACCATTAAAGAAGTAAGAAAGAAGCTCTAGAAAAACTCCATGAAGAAGTTACAAGTTCCTTTTACAACATTTTATAGTGTGTGGAATATCATACCATACAGTAAATAAACAATAAATGAAAGAAAATATTAGAAAGCTGAACGTTTGGTGACTACTGTTCTACACAGGGATCACAGTAGGAAGAAGTAATAAAGCACCATGCCATGAAATAACTTCAGACTTTTTATTGAAAGCGTAGGTAAAGAATTCATATACATATGGATTAATTTAACACTGTCTTTTTCTAACTTTGCATAATGCTTTGATAATGATCAGAAAAGAAAGATCTTCTTTTTCTTTTTTAAGTAGAATGCACACTGAGGTTTCAAATGCATTCTCAAAGGTTTCAATTTTTAGCATAAGTTCTATCTAAAATAGTACTTACATTTCCACAGATTCATCATTTCTTAAGCATGAGTTCAGTCATTTTCACAAAATCACAGAATATGTCAAGTTGCAAGGGACTCAGAAGGATCATTCAGTCCAACCCTTAGCGCTGCACAGGACCACTCCCAAGAGTCACACCACATGCCTGAGAGTGTCATCCAAATGCTGCTTGAACTCTGTCAGGATTGGTGCTGTGACCACTTCCTTTCCAGGGGAGCCTCAACCACCCTCTGAGGGAAGAACCTTTTTCTAATATCCAACCTAAACCTCCCCTGACACAACTTCAGGCCATTCCCTCAGGTTCTGTCCCTGGTCACCAAAGAGAAGAGATCAGTGCCTACCCCTCCTCCTCCTCTCACAAGGAAGTGGTACAATGCAATGAGATCTCTCCTCAGTCTCCTCCAGGCTGAACAGATGAAGTGACCTCAGACGCTCCTCATATGGCTTCCCTTCAATTTCTGAAAGCTTACAGAATATGAAAGCTATATAAAAATCTGCAAATACTACTCATAGTCATTGAAAAATAATGTGATTCTTTTGCTAAGTCATTTCTAAAGCATTTATTAGGACTCTACCTTTAAAGGCAGAATGATTTCTGCTTACTGAAAATGGGAAGTCAAAAAAACTTCAATACAGAAATATTAGAAAGTCAAAGGACCTGGGGCTTCTCAGAATTTCCATTTCTAGGTATCTATACACAGCAAGCTTGGAAGATCAATCCACAAAAGGAACAAGGTTGGATGTGAATCTATGGATGTGTGTTCACTGCAAAGGAGAGCCATAAGAGCTCCACCTTCTTGCACAGATACCCTCATATTAGCAACAGGAATTACATATTCAACCTCCTTGTTTCCAGCCAGAAAAAAATGCTGTTTTTTTCTATCAGGCAACTGATAGATGCTTAATCACATGAGTTATATGCAGCATATTTGCAGCGCAGCTGTGTGGAATTAAGCCTACAGCATATCAAATAATGAATAGCTCTCAGAGCTGTAGTTCATGTTACACTGTCAGAGGAATCAAGGGGAGCAGAAGGCAATCGGTACCATGGTGCATCCAGCCTAACCCACATGCCACCGACATGCAGCAATTCAGGCACTGGTCAGCAAGTGTTTTTCATCCATGTTAGTAGACACAATTGTCATACATGACTAAATGTTTATTTTTCAAGTGAAACAACACCATAAAAGTCATGCTTAGGAATACAAGGACAGTCAAATAAAGAACGAATCACTTCAGAAGCAGTTAAAATCCCAGCATTGCCCAGAACAGCATAAGCTCTTTTTGTATGCGATTTAACATGCTTACCCAGTCTCTTTGTTGATGGTTGGTTTGATGGGTGGTTGAAATGTAGACATTGATGTTGCTGTTATTTTTTCCTGTTCCCTATTCTTCTCCTTCACTTCAATTCAATGGAGGAAAAAAAGCCATTGGAGCCAAGTATTTGCAGGCTTTGCACTGCAAATCCTACAAATGAAGCCCTGGGCCATGTTAACATCTTCTCTTGCCAATTTTCTCTACAATCTGTTTTAGCAATTTAAGAGATCATTTTGTGTTTGAGCAAGTAAACAGGTTGAACAGCTCTGCCAATAGCCTCCAAATAGGGAGCCATGGCTCATTGTCTGTTAGGGACAGTTTCTAATTTCAGATGTACAGACGTGCACAACTACAGTAGCAATATGTTTTGTGTTCTGCTTTAGTTGCTACTGAAGACATATTTTTATTACATTTGAGGTAGTATCCAATTCCTTATCATTTGTGTCTTTCTCCAGGTAACAGGTGTTTAGTTGATTCAAATTATGAGGGAAATCCTGCCCTCTGCTGCATCCCTGAAGCTGTATAAATTTAACTGGCAGTAGAATGTGACCCTTGATACTGAAAAAAAAAAAACAAACACCATGCACCATATTTCATTAAAGACATTGAAAGACAATTAATAAACAGCTTTTCTCATTAAAATCCACATAAAACACTTTCAAAAATGCTTCAAGATTTTCATGCTCTCTCTCTGCAGCCAATACAGGCTTCACTAATTTCAGTGAGGAGTTTAAGTCCCAATACAAGGGGGAGACACTGTCTTACCCCATAGGGGGGTGATTCAGTGACCTTCCCTTCACTAACTCTACTGTCCTTCCAAACTTCTTCACCAAAATAGGGTACCTTGGAAACACGCTTTTTAAAGCAGATTTAATCTGTTTTCTTGTTTTCCTTCTTTGCATTATCATACAGTTTTCATTTCATATATAATCCAAACCTACTGGAAAAATGAGTCACATACAAACAAATGAACTGTATTACTTCATTTTGCTAGTTCTCAAAGGCAAGAAGGGCACAGATGTGCAGTGCTTCTTGCTCCTACATGGCTTAATTTCATAACAGCATTAATATGGAAGTGAGAAATGCCTTTACATGGGCTCTCAAAGCAACCAGGGCAACCACTGTGAAAGCTTCCATGCATCCTTGGAGCCATACATCCAAGGCAGCAACCTCTACTATCCAAGCACTGGCCTTTATCTTAATGAAAGCTTCTCACTCCATCAATTCGTATGGACACCTGTTTTCTTTTATACTTTGCAGACATTTACCAGGAACATTAAGAAAGAGCAGCTTATTTCACATAGGATAAAACATGCTTCAACTCATACAGCTAGACGTAAAAGTGCAGTGGCAGTAAGCTGCAGTTCATTGTTGCAAACCACTGAAAGTGTTCCATTTCCCTAAAGAAAATATTATTACATTGAGTTCCTACTTCCTCATTTAGCCTGTGTCATGACAGATCAATAATCTTTTGCCACCATCTTTAATTATTCTGTTCTTTTTGCCACCTTAATTTTTTCCTTGCAAAACCAGAGTGCAGTCAGCTTATTTGCAAAATCACCTATAAAAATACAAGGCATGTTTTCCGTTTTGAGAATATTCACATTCATATTGAAAATCCTCTCAAAGTTCAAGATGAACAAAAACCACTGCAAGGTCATTTAACAAAATTTACACATTTCGGTGTGTGAACAATATACGTTTTTTGTAGTGACTACATATTCAATGCTAAAAACATGTTGTACATCAGCAGAACTGGGCTTTTAATGACAAAAAAAAACCCCATGAGATACTGGCGTACATTTTATTCTTTTCTAAGAAACTGCATTCTGGTCCTAATACTTCCATTGTGACACAAAATTAATTCCATAACTTTGATCTAAGTCTTCAGAGGTAGGGTTGCTGGTGGCAAAATAGCAACCAAAATCCAGCACCCTCTGTCAACCCACTCTCCTTCCACTCCTCCTATGATTTTTTTTCCTGACAAGATTTATATTCATAGCATAAGAGATTCTTTAAAAAGTCAGAGAGCACTGTGCTAATATTAATGTATGATGCCAAACTTAATATTAGGACAAAAAAGACAATATTTTAAAAGTATTTATGCTAATTAACATCTATTACCATTAGTTTTATTTTTTTATTTATCTTTATCAAGAATATCTACACAGTTAACTGTGCTCACTTACCCCTTCAATGAAGTTGTTACAATTATGGTTCAAATAGGCTCTTTGAGAAGTATCTAATACTTCAAGGTGAAATAAAAACAAAACTGAAAATTGAATAGATATGTTAGTATTCTTCCATTTTTATATATATGAAAAGTAAAATTAATCTAAAATTATTAAAGTGCTTACCTTTCAGTGTCTTGAAACCTTAATTAGATCCTTAGTCGATGACATATACTGCTTATCTGATAAATACAGAAACTACTCTGTGTGGAATGCATTTCTATAATACAACAGTTTTCTAATTAGATTCAAGTCGTGGCCTATGCAGAATTATTTTTCTAGGATATAATGCTATAAATGAATTCATTATTTAAGAACAAGCAGAAATGAAATGCAACTTCTTTTATCATGCACATTTTAAAATTCCATTTTACACATCAAGATTAATTCTTTATAATAGAGTTCCTTACTTGGAATCTCTGTCAGTTACATACATAGAGAAAAGAAAACAACTCTATTGTTAAGATTGGATAGAACAAATCTAGATTGTTAAGACTGGGTGGTTAAAAATGAAGAGACAGGAGTGGTACATGCAATCACCAAGGAAAAAAACTGAAATAAAACCATTTTTCACATTTGAAAAAGCTATTTCTGAGACTGAAAAGTCAGATAGGTATCTTTGGTTCAGGAACCAGACAGTGTCCTAAGTTGTGCAGCAAGGTCTTCCGCTAGAAGAGAAACCCCCTTGATCCATTAAAACACAGAGATAGGAAGAAAGCTCTTTCCCATGTCACAAAACTATTTGTTTGTTTTTATCATCTCCTTTTCCCACAACAGAAAACCCAATACTCTTTGAACAAGAGAGAAATAAACAGCATGCAAGTGAGCTGTGTCATACTGTTCTGTAGGTTGATGTTGAGGGTACTGGGCTTAGGATATCTAATTAAATTTCTTGGCATGCCAATATCCAAAATTGGGCACCACAGGCCTGCTGCAGGGTACTCATCTCAACCTCTCCTAACGGAGCAGACCCGTGTGAGGGATTAAGTGTTCATCACAGCATTGCTCGTTTCATCTCCTTGATGCATTCCAGAGCTACCCCACGCAAAAGAATCACTCTGGTTTGAGAAAGCTATATAGGTCACGAGAGGACCTAATTTAAGTTCCTGGTCTGAATAAAAAATACAGCTGATTAAAACCAGGGACTTGCTGAAGTTTCCCAGATCCCAAATGGAAGTCTTAATGGCCATGCTTTTTGCCACTCTGAAGAATACATCTTCCCCTCTTACAAACCAGTAATTTCAGTTAACCCGGCGTGAACATAAAAGATGAGCTTTTGTTCTCATCTTATCTATGCACAGGAGCATTTGCACATCTCTTAAACTAACTGTCCTCTCCGTTGGCAAAGGTTCCAGGAAATAAGCCCAAATTTTTCACCTCTAAGAGCAGCTCTGGACACCAAAATCTTAACTAGTCAATGCTTTGGCAAGAATGGTACAACTCCGTTGCTGTGAAAAACTAGTATATTTCATTGACTTTTTTTTTTTCCAATGATATATCAACCTGAAAAAAGTTTTTTCTTTCAAGTAAATAAATTCCATCATTTTCTTCTGATTATACTTACATTGGGTGTTTCTGATGTCATGCTGTTATTTTATTACCACAGAGAATGATTCAAAAACATTTTCCCAAAATAATCCATGGGGACAACTTCTTGTTGCAGAAGAATGATCAGGAGGAAAGCCAAAACAAGCTAATAGTATTGATTCTGTATCATTTCTAGCTCACACTAGTTCTTACCTATTTTATATATATCATAACTTGCACTACATATCACCCAATATTCCTTCATGCAGTGACTTAAACATATTATGAAGGAATACAATGCAAACAAATAACTCTCCTTGTGAAAGTTAGTCAGTAAGTCAGTAAAAAAAAATTAAAAAAGAAAATAGGAAGTCAGAAAAAGTCCCATTTTTAAAAATCCAACTCCTGTAAGCTAATGAAACACATTAAGTTTTGCTATTTGCAATTTCTTTCTCATCTTGCAGAACATTGTCTTGTGTGTATTTTCTTTTAAAACTCAGCATAAAAATTTTATCTGCTTCTAGAAAACTCCATCTTGCCAGTTATGCTATTTTTTTCAGTTTTACAGCCCCTGCTAAAAAAGAGACAAAACTGTATAACTTACATAATTTATATAGCTTATATGTAAATTAAAAGTTACAAAAGTATTCTTACTCGCTGGCAAATCTATCAGAAAAGGAAAAAGTGTCAAATCATTTTAATAAAGAAAATACTTTGAGCATACTCGCTGAAAGCTGGAGAGGTGAACACACATTTCCAATGTGCTGTACAAGTCCATGGTATACAGTTACACACACTTCAAAATCAGACATACACAAATTTATCACCAAAATCATATTCTTCACTCACACAGACTTCATCAGAAACACCAACAAACCCACTTAGACACACTAGTTCTCCATCTACAATCACTTGAAGTAGCAGTCACATACATTACTGATTTGCTCCTGCGTCCTTTTCAGTCTTTGTAACTCAGGCGTATCAGTCACAATACTGAACCCTCTTCCTTTGCTTTCTTCAAAGTCTCTTTTGTATTTTACCTACAGAATAGAAAATACAGAAGAACAGGGTTGTTTTCATTTTCCATAATTTGCCCCTAGCAATCTAGCAATTCTTTTTTACTGTAAATAAAGCACTTGTAAAAGGCTTTCAGCTTTTAAAGGAGAAGCCTGACTTCATCCACTAACAGAGATAGGCAGCAACCGGACAAAACTCCCCAGTGCATGGGCAACTGCCTCCTCTGGGGGTGCCACGGGCTCACCTCCACGCATACTGCAGCTGTGGAAAGATCAGTCTGTGGTCATTTCATTCTCAGAGCAGTTACCACAGAACTATAGATGCTCGCACAGCATCAAGCAAGCACCTATACTCACACAAAAAAATAGCTATAACTACAATTGGAGGTCTTCTAACACACAGCTTCCCATTTCACCCTCTCTTCATGATTATTCTACCAGTCTCTTTCCCTGTTGAAACATAAATTACACATTAAAAAATACTGTATGAAAAGAGTATTCAGAATCTCATGAAGTCAAACACTGGTAAGTTAGGGAATGGTTGCCTGTACAGGCTTAATTTTTCCCTCTTGCACATATGCATTCAGATATTGTCTTTAATCAGGTACTCATCCTTTGACATATCCTTTGACAAGGCCCCCTGCTTTATTCTCTACACAGCAGAGATGATTCCATATGCAGTTGTACCTTTTTTTTGGACCAGAATATTCAAATCCTACCATCAAGGTGGGAATATTAGTTTTATCAGGGTCTTTTATACAGCTCTCATCACATTAATCAATCTTCATAATGCACCCTGGAAAGTGGGAATGGCAATATCCATGCTTCTAGGGCAACATGCAAACTGAGGTGAAATGAGCTTAATTTCCAAAAACACACAGGGGTCTCAGGGTGTTCACTCTCAGATTCCTAACAGTTGAATATGTTCAAATTATGGACTTTGAGTTACAAATACCCAGTACTTCTGCAAAATCAGTCTCGGGGACCTCAGTTTCAACATAAAGAAACAAGACAAAATCTGCAAAATATTAAGTCACTGTTGAGCAACAGACAAAACTCTGTAGAGACAGGACCCATCTCTCCCCAGATGGATTCATCTATCTTACCCACATGAACTTCCTTTTACTTCCTATGTCTCCTGCTTTATTCACTACACACATCCAGATTTTGCAGCACCTGGGAGAGCACTAGTACAAAGCAGGATTCTCCTTCACAAAACTGATAACCAGAAAACATCCAGCACATGTACCAAGTTCAAGGTTGGCTTAGGTTCATTTCACAAGCAAGTACCTAATGTTATGATGGTCATGCACAAGACGAAATACCTCAAGATCATGAATGTTAAGTTTCAGAAGGCTATAGAATAGAGTTTGTCCTCCCCACCCTAAATCTCAATGAGTATGTTAATAACTTTTGTTTTTTCTTTAAATGGCATTTTAGCATATATCATTGTATGTAGCTCACATGTAAGCCCATCACACAAATCCTTGAGACACTGCAGTAAGTGACCTGATCAATGAACCATTTTTCCTACGTTCCACATTTAGAGGTAGTTGTAGATTTCACACAAATATAATCTTTTCACACCACCCTGAGACAAAGGAAACAGCAGTCACTGGGGCTTTTGAAAAAACCATGGGTTGACTGGCCCATGCCTTTCTGTTCATCTCCCCCAGGTTCAATTCCTCTGCACCTTTCCTTCCATTTGACCATTGTATTCAGGTATCACTTTGTCTCCTGAATTTCTAAACTATTGTAGTCCGTCTCTCCTTGGCTTTTTGCTAAATCCCTTTATCCAAGGCGCTCCAATTTTCGTTGCTTATTATCTCCCTTCTACCAAATGACTCTCCATCTTTCCACTGACCCTCAGAGGATTCCTTAAACATATTATTCCAGGACTGCTGCTAAGAAAGAGGTCTTGGAAGTATCTGTAAACTTTCTTTATTTGAAGTCATATGAAACTTTATCAAAATTGGACAGACTTCCATGGCCAAGGACACATGCCTAACAAAAAAGACTTCCATTTCAGCAAGCTTCAGCTCCTCAGTCCTAAATGCCAAGAAAACTGAACTGTTAAACAACTTAACAAAAAAAAAATCAAAACAAAACAAAACAAACAAAAAAAAAAATTTAACCCCACTTGTTAATAATGCCAAGGGAACAAAAGTTTATCCTAGTCTCAGCCTTGGAAACTGCTAAGTATTTTGCATTAAAATTCCACATTTGACCTGAAGCAGGCAGGTGACATGGAAATGCTCAGCCTCACTTTTTAAAGTTTACCAGAATTATGAGCAAGCGAACACATCTTACAATGAGAAATGGACTTAGCCCTGCCTACAAGAGAGATTACCTATTCTTAGAAAGAGCATTTCCTGCTATTAATTCCAAATGTTCTAGCCATTAACTTCAAATGACCTTTATTCATCTTACAAAGGAACAGAAGAAGAAGAAAGGGAGGGAACTAGATAGTTTTAACTTAATATTATTTTAATCCTTCAGTCAGATAAAAAGGGCTTCTACTCTCTATTAATAAATCACTTCACAGGACTAAGGTTAACTATAGTTCTCAGAGCAGCTACTCTGAAACCATAACAAAATTATTTAAAACATTAGTAGAGTTAATATATGCATTATTGGATTTTGCTATCTAACTTCAAAATGTAGTTTTGAGTTATAAAAATCACAAAGAAACATAATAAATCATGAAGACCACCACTCCGTGAAATGTAGCCCACTAAAACTACTAGTTAGTGCAAGTTCAAAAGACAAAACACCTCAGTTTCCAGAAAACGTGAAATAATAAAGATGTCATCAGTCATTTAGAACTTGAATCCAAACACAACTCTCATTTAGTATCAAGAATTAATATAAATGAAGAGGGGACAAAACAACTGCTGATTGACTCCCAATTTCAGATAATTTAAAAGTTCAAGTTTTGCTTGACCAGAAAACTTCTAGTAACTACAAAATCTTGGATTAAAATGCAAATTAATTGCTTTAAACCAATTTACAGTAGAAAGGAATATTCTGTATAGGAGCTGTAAAAATCACTATAACAATTGACTTAATCACATACTGGATCTCTCCGGGATGGAGTTAAATTTCCTCATAGCAGCCCATATAGTGCTATGCTTTGAATTTGTATCTAAAACAGTGCTTTGGCTATTGCTGAGCAGTGCTTATACAGAGTCATCCCTAACCTCATCCAAAGACCAGTAAGCTCAGTGTGGGTGAGGGGTTGGGGTTGGGAGCTGACACAGCCAGGACAGCTGACTCAAACTGACCAAAGGGATATTACAAATCATAAAACACCATGCTCAACAGCAAAAGCAAACGGGGAGAATGGACTTCAGTGATTAAGGCATTTGTACCAGGGCCCTACTTCCCAGGAAGTGGCTGGACACTGCCTGCTGATGGGAAGTAGAGAATAAATTTTGCTTTTGCTTTGCTTCTGTGGGCAGCCCTTGTATTTTTCCAAAAAAAAAAAAACACAAGAAGGTTTTTATTGTATTTTCTCCCTCTGTCCTGCTGAGGAGAGGGAGTAAGAGAGCAGCTTGGTGGGCATCTGGCGGCCAGCCAAGATCAACCCAAACGGGAACCCTTGAAATTTAGTTTTGAAATGGAAATGTCAATAACCCCTAATGACTGAATCATAAATGCAGTCATTTCCTACAAAGATGATTTTCAGCAACTCCTCACCAAAATCCCAGCCAGTGGTTCATAATGCTTCCCTCTTGGCTCCAAAATTGAGTGCAGCCTCACAAATGCAGAGCACCCTCAGTGGTGACTACCCTGAAAAATTGATCCTTTGAGAGACAATGTGTGGCACAAACATTAGAAATAAAACTGTAATAAATCACCATAAATGAAAAAGTTTTAAGAGAAAATACTTCATGAGAAGTAATTCTGCATAAACCCACAGTGAAAGGAGTAAGTGATCCAACAGATCTTTAACAAATCAAACTTCTTATATTTGTGACATCAGCAAGAGATGTCACATCTCATGACATCTCATTTAGCGACTCAAAGACAGGATTGTGTAAATCCATTCATGAGGTCAGCATGAAGAAGCCAGAAGGTCCATCTTACACTGAAGGACAGAGGGTCCATCTTACTCTGTACATAAAATATTACACTGAGAAAATGCTGCTTATTTTTTTCACAGGTACACTTGGTACTTGGCAGCAAAGCCACCTATTAGCAAAATAAGATTAATTTTTCCTGGGAAAAATACTCTGAAAATATAAATGGACCCTAAAAGATTGATTATGCTCTTGGGATTTTTGGCACCTACCCTTAGTCCAGACTGATTTGCAATACCAGAAGTACATATCACTTGGACAAACAACACAGGAGTTCAAAAACACCAAACAAAAAAAGCAGAGCAAGAATACAACATAGTGGATCCTCATACTCCTATCCATCCCATTCCTATCAGAAAGTTACTCAGCTACTACAAGGCAAATATTAAATCACCAAAAGCTAAGGCAATGTTAAAGCTAGTTTCCTGTACAGTCCCTTCTCCACTTCCCTGTACAGACCAGGTAGCTGTGTAGTTAAATCTCCTTCCTTATTCTGACACACTGCATAGATTGGCATCATCATGCCTCACGTCCAGCAAGGAAGGAATAAGCAGGGTAGAATGGGAGAATAGGACCCCTCACACCCACATTTGCCCTGAGAGGAATCTTCATAGACCTACAGTCTTTACCACACCCTGAATATTTATGAATTTGTTTCAGTATGTTATGTTTGAGGCTTGCCCAAAGCCATCTGTTCCTTCTGTGCCCAGCACACACAACTACCTCCCAAAGGTCACCATCTGCTAATACACTGGTTTTCACAGACTGGCAAGAAATCCTCTCCCACAGTAAAGGTCCTAGAGGCACATCTTGGCAAAGATG